CACTCCCAAAAGTGCTGTGAAGGAAACATTTTTAAAAGCCATAAAAACACGGCTACGTTGCATTCCACGCACTCTCGTTAATGATCTGGCCCAGGGGCTTGGCAACGGAATAACAATAGGATACATTTTTAGAACATTAGGTTTTACCCTTTCTGGCAATAAAGCAGGTTATGATTTGAAGCTTTCGTGATTGCAGGAATCCATACTCTTTGGTTCTTTCGGTAAAGTCACGTAGCTAGAAAAATAGTAGATCACGACGTTTCGATCCCAATACAAGCAATCGTCATCAGGTGGGACAACCACAGCAAGAAAAAACTTACTTTTACCGAAAGAACCAAAGAGTAATAAAACAGTTGTGTCAAGATGTTATAACACCAAACAGAATCCTTATTCAAGGAATCCTGTCTGCATGAACCACACGTACTTGTGGTGAACATGCAAACAAAAAACTTCCTCTGGTAACATATGCATTGTTTTTTTAAACTGATTGGTCCACACCAGAGACAGCTTTCTTTTGAGCCTCGTCTCAAAGTGTTCTACCTATTGTTATATTTTAACACTAGGCAAGAAAGGCCCCGTATTGTAGCTGCTCACCCCGAACTATAAATGCCCTGATAGTGGTCAGGGCCTTTGTGCTTAAATTTCGATTTAAAGCTTTCGTGACTGCAGGGATTCATCTTCTTGGTTCTTTCGGTAAAGTCACGTAGAATGGAAATAATAAAATAATACATAATAAAATAATTCTCACGACGTTTCGGCCACAACGCAAGCAGCCGTCCTCAGGTGGCGTCCTCAGGTGAGGACGGCTGCTTGCGTTGTGGCCGAAACGTCGTGAGAATTATTTTATTATTGTATTATTTCCATTCTACGTGACTTTACCGAAAGAACCAAGAAGGCCTTTGTGCTGTTCGCCTTTTGGCGTTCTCTGGCCTATAACTTGTTCTTCGAATTTCTGTAAAACAAGAAAAACCCCAACATTTATAGAGCCACGATGCACTGCGTGGTGGGACACGAGACGGTGATGGTCTTCTTTACAGTCCCTCCAGAAAAACGCGATTATGCGATCGCAAGATTCCACGCAAAATCAGCCAAAGTCCGCATATTTATGCGGGGGGCGCGTTTTTTCAAATACGCCGCACTTTCGCCGCATAAATTGCAGATTTCCGCGCGCAAAATATGCGGGCTTGCATGATTTCATAATCCACGCATTCTCGTTGTAAAAAGTCACATATATCTTAGCAGAAAGTTGAAAAATGTTGCGTTTACTTCACACAAGCGCAGCCATTTCCCCTGTTGCCATGGGAACGTTATGAAGTGTTAGAGGCTACGTAGTTAGTTTTATTCAGGAGTTTATGCAACTTTACAGTTGTAAGATTGCACTTTTTTGTTAGTAGTATGTAAATTTACATTACTGTAAGACTGTACTGTTACTGTATTGCTTACGTTACTGTGCACTGAAAACACTTATTTTAACAGAAGATGTCTGTTTTGTATAGCTACCTCTGTAAAACAGGAAGCACACATTTTATTTTTTAATATTTTATTTATTCATTTTTACAGAAGTTGTAGCATATTCATTTTGTAAAGCTACAGAACTTGTTCGACTCAATGTTTTGTAAGTTTGAGCCATCTGTTTGTTAAGGTCTGAAATAAAACAAGATGAGCACTTAAATATTCCCAGCACTTTCTGTGATGTAGTATGCTTGCTTATCATAGGAAGTAATAAGAAATGACTCTTTACATTAAAGTAGTAGCCTAGTGAATAGGGTGTTGGGGGAATCACTTTTTTTTCTCTTTTTCATCAAACCGCAGTTTTTGCACGTTCCCGCAATTTAATCGCATAAAATTGCATAAATATCCCGCATATTCCATCGCATTTTTTAAGAAAACGTGCCGCATAATCAACGATTTTTGCCCGCAACAATCACCAAAAAACTCCGCGTTTTTCTGGAGGGACTGTCTTTAATAAATAACCACCACGAGGCAGCAGTCCTTAAAAAACACAAGAGAGCCGCAGGTTGGATCTGGCCCTGGTGCCGGATTCCTCGTGCGCCATGAGTACGAATCGCAGAGGGAAGCAGTCGATCTGAGGACCACACGAGGGGTTTGGTGGCAAGAGACAGTCGGCCAAAGGCAGTAAGAGGTGGCGGGGGGAGGGGTGTGGAAAGGTCTTTTAGCAGGATCCGAATTGTGTAAATTGAACTCCGTGAATAATTAACGAGCGCTCGGTGCGATGTTGAAGCCCGGTCTGCCACCTTTGCAATTTTGATTTGAAGCTTTCGTGACTGCAGGATTTTATCTTTGGTTCTTTCGGTAAAGTGACTTTACCGAAATAATTATTGCAGAGTAAAGTGTGGATCCGACTGAGTGTGGGTTTTGAGACGCAACGCGCTGCTGCAGATGATGATGAGGCCACACAGACGGCTGGCAGCGAGCACTGTGGATCCCGTGCCACCAACACCACAACCACCAATACCACAACCAACACCGCCACTAATACCACCACTAATACCACCACTAATACCACCACCTCCACCACCAACACCACCACCAACACCACCACCAACACCACCAACACCACCACCAACACCGCCAACACCACCACCAACACCACCACCAACACCACCACCAACACCGCCAACACCACCACCAACACCACCACCAACACCACCACCAACACCACAACCAACACCACCACCAACACCGCCAACACCACCACCAACACCACCACCAACACCACCACCAACACCGCCAACACCACCACCAACACCACCACCAACCACCACCAACACCACAACCAACACCACCACCAACACCGCCAACACCACCACCAACACCACAACCAACACCACCACCAACACCGCCAACACCACCACCAACACCACCACCAACACCACCACCAACATCACCAACACCACCACCAACACCGCCAACCCCACCACCAACACCGCCACCAACATCACCACCAACACCACCAACACCACCACCAACACCGCCACCAACATCACCACCAACACCACCAACAACACCGCCACCACCAACACCGCCACCAACACCACCACCAACACCGCCACCAACACCGCCACCAACATCACCACCAACATCACCAACACCACCACCAACACCGCCAACCCCACCACCAACACCGCCACCAACATCACCACCAACACCACCAACACCACCACCAACACTGCCACCAACATCACCACCAACCCACCACACCACCACCAACACTGCCACCAACACCACCAACACCGCCAACACCACCACCAACACTGCCACCAACATCACCACCAACACCACCCACACCACCAACACCGCCACCAACACACCATCACACCACCAACACCGCCCACCACCACCACCAACACCACCACCACCAACACCACCAACACCCCACCACCAACACCACCAACACCACCAACACCCCACCAACACCACCACCACCAACACCGCCACCCACCACCACCAACACCGCCACCAACACCACCACCAACACCACCACCCACCACCACAACCCGCCCACCCCCACCACCCACCACCCCCACCACACCACCACCCCAAACACCACCACCAACACCACACACCACACCCACACCAACCCACCACCACACACCACCACCAACCCCCACCACCACCACCCCACACACCACCAACACGCCACCACCAACACGCCACCAACCCCCCACCCACCACCACAATCCGCCACCACCACCAACACACCACACCAACACCACCACCACCACACCGCACCAACACCGCCACCAACACACCGCCCACCCAACACACCACCACCAACACCGCCACCACCACCACCAACACCACCACAACCACCACAACACTACCACCACCAACACCACACCACCACCACCACCGCCACCAACACCCACAGCCACCAACACACCACAACACACACCACCACACGCCACCCACCAACACCGCCAACAACAAACACACCAACACCACTACACCCAACACCACCACCACCAACACTTCCAACCAACACCACCCCAACACCGCCACCACCACCACCAACACACCAACAACCACCACCAACACCACCACCAAACCGCCACCACCACGCCACCACCCACAACACCACACCACCGCCACCACCACCAACACCACCACCACCACCACCACACCACAACAACACCACCACCCGCAACACCGCCACCACCCAACACCGCCAACCAACACCACCACCAACACCACTACCACCAACACCACCACCACCAACACTGCCACCAACACCACCACCAACACCGCCACCACCACCAATACCAACACCACCAACACCAACACCACCACCACCAACACCACCACCACCAACACCGCCACCAACACCAACACCACCAACACCACATTTTCCCACGCACCAAATCGGGACGTGCTTCTCAGTCGGCACCAGATCTCGCAACAACAACAACAACCCGTGCATTGCCATGAGACACACCATGACGCTTCCCGCCCTCGATGCCGGCACGAATCAAACCCTGCCACCCGAACACAACGTATACCAACCATAACAGAGGGGGTGTTTTTGTTGTCGTTAGATCGCGTAAATATAAACGTGTCGTTAAACCCTCCACCACCCGACACAGCCAATTAGTAAGGTCTGTCACGTAAACAGAACGTGCTAATTCGTCACTAGTACAGCAACACCGGTGTTGTACAATCTGAACATTCAGATGGTAAATGTGTATTTGCTCTCCCAGCACAGCCTCTGTGCTGTACATTACGGATGACATTTGTCGCGAAAGTCCCACCACGTGTTGTTACAGTGACAATGTCACTGCGCCGGTTACCACGTGGGACGAGGCAGCAGCCCTCTCGGCGTTGCCATGGCGACGCGAGGCGAACCCGTCGACCCCGCCCCGTTCGCCCCACCCCATGCCCCGCCCACTCTACGCCCCGCCCACTCTACGCCCCGCCCACTCTACGCCCCGCCCACACCACGCCCCGCCCCCACCAGGCCGCGTTACAGCGGAAGTGACGTGCGGCACCGGAAGTGGACGCGCACGTGCGTGCCATGTGGGAGCCGTGTTCGCGTGAGTGCCGCTGCTGCTTGTGGATTTCTCGGTGTCTGACGCGCGCGTGAAACCGCCACGAGGTTGTTCCGCACCCCTTGACCAGACGCTATGGACTCGTACGGGATGATGTTTCGCCCGCCGAACGCCTCCACGGTCTGGCGCGGTCCGCCGCCGCCTCCGCCGCCTCCTCATTTCAGCGGGCTGCCCTGGTCAGGGCCTTGGCCTGCGTGGAGACCGCACTTTCCTAGCGGACCCCCCTGGATCAGTGGTGCCCAACCCGGGCCTCACAGCGGCCTCCCATCGGGACCTCCACCTGGACCTCCACCTGGACCTCCACCCGGACATCCACCCGGACCTCCACCCGGATTTGGTTGGGGGAACCAGTGGGGATCTCCCCCTGCCAGACACGGTAATGTATTTATAATACAGTTTAACTGGCGGAGTCACATTTAACAATTGCCATTTGGTAGGTGTTTATTTCACAGGGTATGGTTGCTCGTCCTATGAGTTGAATGACTAACTGCGGCTGTGTTGCATAATCATTTGCAGCGCTGTGTTTTGTATAGTATAGCAGGAACAGCAGTTTATTTCAAGCAGCCTCCGTCAACTGCAGAAACACCAATGCGATGAAACTATCGGTCACTTCTTCTTGGTTCTTTCGGTAAAGTCACGTAGAAGGGAAGTAATACAAAAATAAAAATAAAACTTAATAAAATAATTCTCACAACGTTTCGGCCACAACGCAAGCAGTCGTCCTCAGGTGAAGACCAGGTCTGTCAGGTGAGGACCAGGTCTGTCGGGGAGACCTGGTCTTCACTTGAGGACGGCTGCTTGCGTTGTGGCCGAAACGTCGTGAGAATTATTTTATTGTTTTATTTGTATTATTTTATTATTTCCCTTCTACGTGACTTTACCGAAAGAACCAAGAAGATGAATCCCTGCAGTCTCGAAAGCTTTAAATCGAAATTTATCGGTCACCTGTTGTACGACAGTTTACGAAGGCAGTGAGTGCTCTTACTTCTGAACACCCCATTATTTGTGTCATGTCTTACTCTTGGTATCTCCCTTCAGGGGGACCGGCAAGAGGCGGCGGCGGTCATGGGGGTCATGGGGGTCGTGGAGGTCGTAGGGGTCGTGGTGGCAACCACCCAAAGCGTTTCGCGTCCCCACATGGCCAGCCGCAACCTCCTGCGCCACAGCGAGATGACGACAACCACCAGGGCCCCCCTAAAAGCAAGGTAGCCGCGGTTCTCTGGACTGCCACTCGCTTCGGGAATTAGCCGCCTCGAGGGCTGGCTGGTAAAGCTCCTTCTTCCACGCGTTTGTCCCACTAATGTGGGGATGTCCGCTCTCCTTGTCAACCTTCTGCACGCTGCCCTGCGCCATCTGATCGCACCACATCGCCGCCACCACCACCTCTTCTGCATTCCTTTTCTTCTGCATTCCTCTTGATTTCTTTCCTTCCACTTTCATCACTTGCCACCTTTTGACCCACGTAATTTCCAAGGTTCTCTCCGCATGACCAAAGCACACCAAAGCCTTTTCTCTCTCTATTATTCTCTGTCTCTATTATTCTCTGTCATCTTCCGTTCAAGCACCACGGGCAAAGGGGACGCGGTTGCTGCCTGCACTGGCAGAGTTTGTCCGCGTGGTGGCGCTCGCCGCCGCACGCAGAGCAGAGGTCGCAAACGGGTTTTGATTCCTTGCCCGTACCCGGCCACACCAGGGTCGCAAATGGGTACCCGTACCCGGCCAGGTACGGGTTCCCGTTCCCTACCCGAAATGAGTGACAAACAGTTACTCACCAGTGACTCACAGACTACCCGTACCCGGCCGGGTACGGGTAGCCGGGTATCGGGTAGGGTACGGGTATCGGGTACCCGGTTGTGACCTCTGACCCAGAGGAGATGCTCAATGCAACACGCGCAGAGCCCGATAATGGTATGGAGACGTGCAGACCGGTGGTGCGGCATTGGTGCTCAAGAACAGATTTAACACAAGTATATGAAGGCCGGTCATCGTGAACGCTCTTAGAAATAGGCGTGTATGGACCCCAACCCCTTCCATTGGCGATTTTATAACTTTTCACGATTAGAGGGAACGATTTGATTCAAGGATCAATTACCCTTTGAATCGCTGCCTTGGCCTCATGCGGCGTGTTGTTATTTTGCGCGGGTTAAGATAAATTCGCATATTATTGGCGTGTTCTTTTTTTGAAGTCTTAAATTATCGATTTTAGACGCGCAATTTCATTAATGTTTCAAAAACATTAACAATGCATCAACGCCGTACTTGTACGCGTACATGAAACAGCTAAATATATAGCCTCGGCCAGGGATCAGCACCTTACAGCTACGGAGCCGCATGCGGCTCTTTAAGGACTGCTGCTTACGTGACGTTATTCACAAGCGTTGCAGCTCTTGAAACATTGAGGGTTTTTTATAATATATATACCGAATTCGAAAAAAAAGTCTCTTCTCGTTACTTTGGTTGCTGACCCCTGCCCTAGTCCAAGGCCTCAGTTAAATATCCCTTGTGAGCGAGAGAGCCAGAGTGACAGTTTGGCGAAGATTGCACTTGCGTATGGATCGGAGCGCTGAGCCCTCTGGAAACTTTTGGCACCCATGATGAGCGTTGCGGAGGTGACGACGCCGAGAGGGATTCGTGAAAGTCGTGAGAAACGAAGAATTGAGAGGACGGGTGAAGGTCGCGTCGAGAGAGGAGAAGTTGGCCGGGAATAGGCGCGACGGTTCGGACACGTGCCCAGAAGGTCAGAAGACCGTATTGGAAAGCAAGTTCAGACCGTGGAAACCGAGTGTGAGAGAAAGAGGCCGAGTCTCAAGAGAATGCAGTGAGAAGTTGCCATCGAGGACGTAAGAGCATGTGGCGGTACTACTTTGGAGATCGCGATGGGGCCGAAGACTGCGGAGAGAGCCCCACTTGGTGTGACGAACGTTCGGCAGAAGAAGAGATGATTCTACTTCACACCGCCGGTGCCATAACAGCTTTGAAGTTGTCAAATTGACTTTTTATTTCTTTACATAAGACCGGTTTTGTATGCACAGATGCTGAGAAAAAAAACCCTCCGTAAAGGATGGATATGGGAACTTTGGAATTTCAACACGTGCAAATGTAATGCTAATAATGTGTGGGTCTTCTTGTCAGTCCACTGCTGGATGTAGGTACTCCCCACATAATGGTTTTTTTTGGTGAAGGAGAATTTTTGGTCCAGAACTTGTTCAGATGTCACTCGCTTACCCCAATGCTAGCTGTGGCCGGCAGTCAAACTGAAGTCGCACTTTATCTTGCTTCTCTCGTATCTCACTATGTCCCATCCCATCCTCTACACTCCCAATCTCTACCGCCTCTCACCGTGCCTCCCTCACCCAGCGCCCGGTTTCGCTCTCGTTCCTTTTCCCTGCTTGCTCCCCTTCATGGAACAAACTCCCACTGCAGCACGTAAAACAGTAGTCTTCGTCATCTTCGCCATAACCTGCTTCCATTCCTCCCTGAAAACCCATTTCTTCTCCTCTAGCCCATCCTGCTGCTACTCCCTGCCTCCACCCCCCAGCTACAATCAGGTCTACCCCAACTCCCATCATGAGCCCGATCACTACCACTACCCCTACCCATGCCACTATCCCTACCACTACCCCAACCCCTATCACTACCACTACCCATACCACTTCCCCAACCCCTAGCACTACCACTACCCCTACCCATACCACTACCCCAACCCCTAGCACTACCCCTATCACTACCCCTACCCATACCACTATCCCTACCACTTCCCCAACCCCTAGCACTACCACTAGCCCAACCCCTATCACTACCACTATCCCTACCACTTCCCCAACCCCTAGCACTACCACTACCCCAACCCCTATCACTACCCCAACCCCTAGCACTACCACTACCCCAACCCCTATCACTACCCCAACCCCTAGCACTACCACTACCCCAACCCCTATCACTACCCCTAGCACTACTCACTGCCTGTTCCCTCTGCCCCCGCTCCCCAGCCGCGACCAGGCCAACCCCAACCCTCCTTAACCACTCCCACCTGGTCCTCCTGTCACCATAACTACACCACCACTTTCAATAACAACCCCACTCTTTATTTCAGCCACTATCATCTTATGCACAGTTTTATCATTGTTGTTAAGTGTCTTAGAAGGAGGCGCTGTATACATCTACATGAGATGACGGTCATCTTAAATGTTCTCCCTCTCACATTCCCACCCTCTGTGCAGAAAAAAAAGAAGGAGCCAGTGTACACTCACTTTTGCGACACCTGCGACCGTGGGTTCAAGAACAAGGAGAAGTTTGACGAGCACATGTCGCAGCACACCAAGGTATGCGCGCAGATATTGAAATCCTGCAGTCAATTGTCCCCCACGGTTCATCGTCAGCATCATCATCATCATGATCAGCCATGAGCAAGACCACTGCCGAACGATGGCCGTAAATGTTGTGACAGTTTGTCTTCTCCGTCTGGTGCGGGTGTGTTTTGCAGTGCAAGGTGGAAGGCTGTACCTTTGAAGCTCACGAGAAGCTGGTGCAGATTCATTGGATGAATGTATGTATTTTCAAGCAGTACAATTAATGTAGAACAGGTTAATTATTGGAAATGTACAAATCACTGCGACCAATTAACTCCGGGATTGTGTCTGATCTCAACCAGAACAGAAGCTAAGCAGGGTTTTAATTTGGTTTCTACTCGACTTGGAGAGTACTTGGGAATACCAAGTCTTGAGTACCTAGAAATAGCAGGTGTTGAATTTCTGAGAATATCAGGTGTTGAATACTTGAGAATACCAAGTCTTGAGTACCTCGGAATAGCAGGGGTTGAGTACCTGAGAATATCATGTGTTGAGTACCTGAGAATATCAGGTGTTGAGTATCTGGGAATGCCAGGTCTTGAATACCTGGAATACCAGGTTTTGAGTACTTGGGAATATCAGGTGTTGAATACCTGAGATTATCAGGTGTGGAATACCTGAGAATAGCAGGTGTTGAATACCTGGGGATACGAGGGTTTGAGTACCTGAGAATACCAGGTGTTGAGTACCTTGGAATATCAGGGGTTGAATACCTGGGATGACCAGGTGTTTAAGGCGTGCGATGTGAGATGGCGTAAGAGTTGGCAGTGTTGACTGCGTTTCCCTCGTATGTGTGGGTTTTCCCCGGGCTCTCCTTTTTCCCTCCATGTCAAACGCTCCTTCATGAATTTGGCCAAACATCCCAACGCGAGACCCCTCCTGAAAATGTTCTAGAAGCTTATTGAACCTTTCCCTTGACAGGTGATGAGTCAACTTATGCAGAGCATATTGGAACACGTGTGGTTTTTTTAAAATGCTCTTCTGCAACGTACACAATGATACGTGCCTTTTCATGAAACCCAAGCTGACCGCTCTACTCACCATTTTGGTTTTTGTCTTCTGTTTCCATCCTTTAAAATGTTCTTCAAAGTGCACGTGGTTTTTAAATCCTTTATATTAAGTTCGCTTGCTTGCTTAGGACCGTGCAAATCTTTCGGTCGTTTTTTAACCCACTTCCCGTGATCCAATCGAGCTGACATTTTCCACACAGACTCGTTGTGTGTGACAATGAATGTCCGTGAAATTTTTTTTCCAAAATTTTACACTTATTAGGACAAAAATATTATATTTAATTACCAATTGCTTAATGGTGCAATGCAATCATCTGGCCCATAGGTGGCAGCCATCTCAAGCCAGAGGACGAGAGGACTCTAGCTGCCACGCATATAAAGGATTTATAGTGAAAAACTTTGTTTTTACTGGTTATACTTATTACGAGGCCACGCTGGGCAATAACTTAAACCGGTGCGGCCCGGCGTGCCACCTCGATCACCTCCACTGCTCTCGTTGACTCTCCCCCCCCCTTCCCCCCCTGCGTGTTGCAGAGGCACGCACCGGGTGCCAAAAAGTTCAAGCTGGAGACGGCGGAGGACATTGCGAAGTGGAGAGCAGAGCGACGGAAGTCAGTTAACCCGTCTCGTTGCGTCGTACAACACGGGACCACCACGGCACTTGATGTTTTCACTGTCACCCCCACCGTGCTGTCAAGATCGCCTACCAAAGTGCACTTTCTCTGCCTTATCAGAGACTCCGGTCACTGCACGGAGTGGGGGGGGGGGGGGGCAAGCCTTATCTGGAAGAGCGCTGCTGGATTAACACGTGAAGCGTCTTTCCCCAGTGTAAAATCAATGCCGCCCCTTTCTGACTGTCACCACCGACTGAGTGCCCCTCGCTGGCTGCAATTTTCCCTCTCCGTTTTTCGCATTCCGCGTGGCGTTTACAGCCCGAGAACAACTCCGAATAATAACCCCCGTTGCGGGCATTTGGTATCGTTGAGCAGCAGCACCCCTGGCTCTCACTGGGGAGGCATCCGCGGTCTGCCCAGACCGTCTTGAACATAATCGACCGCGCGCTCGCGTGAACGCCATCGCCGTTGTAGCATGACGACGCGCGGTTGTATAGGTGAGCCTTCGCTCAATCGGTTGAGAGTCGCGGCGATCATCTCGTGTTTTTGTGACGCGACGAAGTTTTTTTTTTCCCCCCCCTTTATCTTTGATGTATTTGCTTCTTTAATTGATTTTCCCAGGAATTTCCCGACCACCGCGAATGTGGCTCGCAAGAGAGTGCTGAACGAAGAGAGGGAGGCCAGAGGAGACGTTTTGACAACAGCGCAGTTTGGGTGAGTGGATTTTAAATTTCATTAAATGTTTTATGCTTTGCCCTGGGGGGGGCACGGTGACCTGTTTTTTTTTTCTTCTCTCTCTCATCTTTAATAATTATCGAACTGCCAGTCGTGCGGATGGACGGGTTCCCAGAGCTTGCAACCGCGAGAGTGAGTCACTGTTTTTTTGGGAGGTGTGTCGTCAAGGCAACGTCCAAATCCCGCCACGATTACCACGTGTCCGTCAAACGGGCCACCCGGGCACCCTAGACAAAGGAGCAGCGCCGCTGAAAACTGGTCTCCCATGTTTGACGGGTGTTCTCGTTGCGACGTGCGGAACCATTAACCCCGCGAGAGTCGGCCTGGCTTCTGATTTAAACTAAAACTCAACTTTTTTCCTAGTTTACCAGGTGTTAGGCGCACTGAGCTATATAGCTGTTTTTTCCGAAGCAACTTGGCCGCAAATGATAGCTCAACGAAGTGGCTTATCGTGTTGAAGTTTATCGCAGCCTAATACTCTAAACGTATGTTTCTAAATGTGGATGGGAAAACCGGAGGGTCTGTGGAAAAATCCACACGACCACGAGGAAAACATGCAAACTTCAAATATACGAGTGTCAGGGTTGGGTTGGAACCCACGACCTCCTGCATACCAGGCGAGGGAGTTAACATCTCCTAGCCAGTTTAAAGCTTTCGTGACTGCAGGGATTCATCTTCTTGGTTCTTTCGGTAAAGTCACGTAGAATGGAAATAATAAAATAATGAAAATAACACATAATAAAATAATTCTCACGATGTTTCGGCCACAGAGTCATTCAGACGCTGTCTTCTCGACAGACCTGTTCTCCACCTGAGGACGGCTGCTTGCGTTGTGGCCGAAACGTCGTGAGAATTATTTTATTATGTTTTATTTTAATTATTTTATTATTTCCCTTCTACGTGACTTTACCGAAAGAACCAAGAAGATGAATCTCCTAGCCACCGCGGCACCCTTTTAAAATCCTTTATATTAAGTTCACTTGCTTGCTTGCGCGCTTACGACCGTGCAAATCTTTCTGTCATTTTTTAACCCACTTCCCGTGATCCAATCGAGCTGACATTTTCCACACAAACTCGTTGTGCGTGACAATTTATTTTCGTGAAAATGTTTTTCCATAACTTTACACTTTTTAGGAAAAAAAGAATTATATTTAATTACCAATTGCTTAATGGTGGCAGGCAATCATCTGACCCATAGGTGGCAGCCATCTCAAGCCAGAGGACGAGAGGACTCTAGCCGCCACGCATATAAAGGATTTATAGTGAAAAACTTTGTTTTTACGGGTACATTTTTTTGAGTTGCAACCTCGGCTGGAGTGGCCCAGCATGGCACCTTAAACAGAAATTGGCAAACTCTACCCAGACTCGTCAGCCCACACACGTGTTCGAGTCAGTGGTTAAATAAAAGCTTTCAAATGAGCATCTTTTTGGCAGTACATGTACCGATGGCTGCGTGTGATTACGCAACGGGTTTATTTTTCGAGTGATGTTCACACGCACATTTAGTTTACGTTGGATGCCACTCGAAGATAACGTTTGTTATACGGGAAAGTCGAGGTTTGAAGATGCGCTGATAAATCGGTTGAGCTCGCGAAACGCGCGTCGAATCGCACGTGTAAGAATCGATGTGTTTCGGTTCGTACTCGTCGTACGTAATGAGTTCGTGTGAACCCCCTGCAGCCACCAGAGGCCTGCTAAATTAGCAACAATGTAAAAAAAAAGCAACTCCTGAAATGACTTGCAACCATGAATCGTGATAATTTTATCGAATTTCTGGGCAATATTGGAGGGTGGGGGGAGGGTAGAGGGGGGTGGGTAGGGCTGAAACTAAATCATTAACCCCCGAGTACAGATACCGTACCGTGCGTACGGTCGTGGCAATTTCACGCACGGGAGTCTCACGGTGTCAAAGATCTCTCGCCGTTGTTCACAGACCCAGGCTGTTGTTGGGCCGGCGTCGCGGGCAAATTTGGTAAAGTTACCCTCCCCCCTGTTACTCGGTTGCACGATCGCCTCGGCAACTAACACCGATCGCTTTGCCGGGGCGAGGACACCGCGCGTGTGTGTGTTTGAGACGGGAGAGGAGTAACCCAGTATGAGACTGCCTCGGGGAAACACCTGCCGCGGTGGAGGAGACATAACCCGGCGATCCTGTGGCGATACAATGCAGCGTTTTACGACAATGCAGGGTGGATTTTTGCATGGCGATCGCATCCCAGGACAATGCGAGTGGGTGGGGGGGGGAACACGCTGATCCAGAGAACCCGAGGCGTGGTTGTTTGTTTGACGAGAGCAAGGGAATGACATAATTTTACAGACTACGGAGAGAATTGAGACAATGTTAAAGCAGAAGTGCTTCTAAAGACAACTGCAGAGAGAGATTCATTATTGCGGCAGAAGAGGAGAGGAAAATCTTGAGCCTGAAACGGAGCAGGGCAAGAATCTCGGCTGTGTGGACAAGCAGAAGAAGGGAGTTCCAGACATCGGGAGCAGCAGCAGCAGAGAGTGACATCCTCATTGTCAGAAGGTCGAATTAGGCTTTGGACAGAAGGCCCTTTGGTTGCTGTAGCTCAGAGAATGTGAAATTGGGGGAGTAGAGTGGGAAACGAGTGGGGATGTTAGGCAGGTGTACGAGTCGACCGAAGATCTTGAAGTGGTGAGAAACGATCTTGTCTCTCTGGTGGAGGGATCGGAGGACCCCGGGCGATGTGGTCTCGATGACTGGTGCGAGCTTGTGAGCGAACTCCGACAGCCGTTTTGAAACATCCGTGGGTGGGGGGGGTGGCTCTGCCCGTTCTCCCAGGAGGATGCGCGGTCGCGGGCGGTGGCGAGGCCGCGCATCGTGGAGGCACAGGGAACGCCCGGGTGGCCCGGGGGGCGACTGCGACCGCAACGGCGAGGAGCGACAGACAACCCCCACCCCGAGTCAAGAACGGTCCGGCCCGTCGGAGACGAGCCAATCAGCAGCCGGCGACGAGGACCGTGTGGGGAAAGCCGCAAAGGCCTATGGGAAAGAGGTTGACCCGCTGAGCATTCTGGCAGACAGGCGACGGAGGTACGTCTTGACAGTCTGTTGATTTTCGTTCCGTTCTCGTGTGTAAGAAACGTGATTTGATCGTCGGTCGGTTGAAGCCTTCGAGTGATTTTCATCGTGCGGAGTTGAGTAAGAATGAACAAAGGACCCGGCTTATTTGCATAAAATAACTTAAAGTACAAAATCCCCGTGGCTCCCATTTAAATCGGTGTCGGTGAAGGAGCCGGCGGCGACTTCGCCCTCTGAGGGGCTCACAAGATTGATACTCGTTTCTTTATAACCGCCTTTTCTCTTTGAGTCTGTTTTCCTTCCCTCGCACCTCCCATTCGCACGGTTGGCCACGTACGGTGCGAAAGGAGTTCACGGGGATGTTTGTTCATTCGTCCGTTGAGCGGCGGTGCCCAACTGCACGAGTGGGCCACGTAGCCTCCGGGCGTATCGCCGGCTCGAAATGAAGTGTCTGTGACGCGACTCCTCATCCCCCACGCACCACAACGCCCTCCACGCACCCCCATGCCCTCCACGCACCCCCACGCCCCCCCAAACCCCCCACGCACCACAACGCACCCCACGCACCCCACGCCCCCCATGCCGACGTGGGCGGCGGTGTTTCCACGACGTTGGAAGTGATGGCAGCCGGACTGGCCAATGGGTGGCCCTCGGCTCGCGTGTTCCCAACGTTGTGCTTTTCTTTGGTCAATCGGTCGAGAGAGAGAGATAATACTTCTTTTTTAATGAAAATTATTGTAATTACAATTGCATTTGTTGTTTATCCAGAGAAGCCTTTGTTGAGTCTCGAGACTCTTTTAAGGAGGGCGCTGTACTTGGATGTTTTGGCCAGCGTTTTGACGAGGAGACCGAACGACCCAGAGAAAATCAATGAAGTGTAGGAGGGGGGGTAAACGCTCCAAGCTGCACGAAAGGTGGATTCAAATTCCGTAGCCGCGCTACCGTCACTGGCCACCTCGCAAGTCTATAGCGCCTGGCACTCCCGGGCAGTCCCTGTCTACTCACCGCCAGCCAGGGCTCTCAACTCTGCTTCAGCGTCTGACATCTGACGAGGCTGGCAGGGTGGGGGGGGGAACGGTTTGGTCGCGGCCGTCTTTCGATCGCCGCGACGTTCCGTTCCGCGCGTTCGTTTAGGGGCGGAGCGCTCCGTTCGCCGTGCCGCTACAAAGGGAGCGTCGTGCCGCGTGGCTGTGTTTTCAGGCTCCGCTTTGCTCAACGGAGCCATTGTCTTAAATGTCAACGTACTCTCTCCGCCTCTCTCTCTCTCGTACGCGGCGCTGTTGGGGAACAACAAAGGCGGATGCGGCGCGCGACAGTGGCGTGTGCGGCACCTGCCTTCGGAACGAACTCTGCGAGGGATGCGTGCGCGTGTCACGGGAACGCGTCCTTTGGACGCGTTGACCTCGGTGCGAACCCACGGGCCGCTCGGCGGTCGGAGACACGGGGTTCGGAAGCGGCCGCGAGCTCGTCAGGTGTAATTGGTCAAAGTTCCAGCTGTATGAGATTGAGGCAAAGTAACATTGCTTTGACTTCTTCTTGGTTCTTTCAGTAAAGTCACGTAGAAGGGAAATAATAAAATAATAAAAATAAAACATAAAATAATTCTCACGACGTTTCGGCCACAACGCAAGCAGCCGTCCTCAGGTGAAGAACAGGTCTGTCGGGAAGACAGCATCTGAATGAAACACCACCACGCTTGGAGCGTATATTATTGCTTTGACTGCCGTGCAATTGCGTGAGATGCAATCTGCACGAACGACGACGCGATACCAAAACTAAGCCTAAGAACACCATTGTTGTGGTCGATGTTGTTCACGTGCGCGCGTCATTGTCGTGTTGTGGCCTCAGACTCGGACAGGGAGGAGAAGGCGGCGGCGGCGGCGACTGTCGGCGCCAGCGCCAGCGCCGTGATTCCGTGCTGCGTGACGGCTGGGCTCGGCGCGCTCATGGCAAACTACGGGAGCGACTCGGACAGCGCGAGCGACGACGAGCCACCCCAAGGTGAGGGTCGTGGGGGGTTGCGAGGTCAGTGCGGGAAGGGGTCAAACTATTTAATTGTTTTTATTTTACCAGGTAAGGCCCACTAAGCTATACTGTATAGCCCGTTTTCAGAAGCGTCCTGGCCACAAATGATATCTCAACGAAGCGGCTTATCTAGTGGAAATCTATCACAGCCATGTACTCGAAAGGCACGTTGATTCTAAATGTTGAGTGGAAAACCGAAGGACCCGGAGAAAAATCCACGCGACCACGGGAAGAACATGCAAACTCTAAATATACTGGCGTCAGGGTCGTGATCAACCCACAACCTCCTGTATACCAAGCACGTAGGCCGCCCAGATGAATTGTGTTGAGCCTTCAAGCCGCTCACAGCAGGTTTGTTGACGGCACGAAGGGGGACGTGAAAGTGAAGAGGCCTTGAGCAGGACATCGCGAGACAATGGACAGCGAGCGGCACGGGTGACCGGATGGCAGCAGGGGATGGATTGTGTCCAAGACGATGGCTCGCCTTCGATGTGGAGCGATGAAGTAACGAATTGGCACGTTGTTTACGTAACAAACCTTACTGGCCGTGTTGGGTGGTGGAGGGTTACGACACATTTATACTTACACGAACTAACCCAAAACCCTTTATTATGAATAATATTGGTCGCGAAAGCCTGCTACGTGTTAAAGTCTTTTCACACTCGTCTCAGGCAGCGTGCATCGCCTGTAGCGATGCAAAACCATTACGTTTTAAAGAGTTAATTGGGGGTCACAAGAACACCTGGACCACCCATTGCAGCAGCCGGGGGCCGCACAGTGCGACTGTTTTGCATCGGCCCTTGCAGAGCTCGCACGGGTGCAGCGCACGGGTTAGCTGGCGAGTGTGCAGGCGGTACGACGGCAGCTACGAGTCCCGGACTGGAGGGGGGGGGTGGAGGAGGGGTGGAAAGTTCAGCTGTCAGGGAAACCGGATATAAAAATCCACGTGAGCACGGGGAGAGCTAACATGCCTCCTCCAAATATAGAGGCGTCGGGGTCGAGATCGAACCCACGTACTCCTGTATACCAGGCGAGGTAGTTAACATCTCCTAGCCACCGTGATGATAATGAGAGAGAGAGACATGCAATCTCCAAATATATAGAGGCGTCAGGGTTGAGATCGAACCCACGTCCTCCTGTATACCAGGCGAGGTAGTTAACATCTCCTCGCCACCGTGACCTGCTGACAGCGGTAGGTGGGTGGAGCGGGGGGGGGCGCACCGCCCCTTCGCTCATTCGATGCGCCATCGCATCGTGCCAGCCAACAACGGCGGTGCTTGTGCGTTCGCTCGCCACACTTGGAAAGTGGATATGAGCTCGGCGAATTAGGGAAAATCCTAATGATCGCGGCCACCTGCTCGCACGTGCCGTGTCGCTTGAAATACTGGTCGCGTTTCTCGGAAGTGGAGCGGATTGGGTGACGAGTCAAGAAAGCGATGATACGCTTGCGCGTGTGTGTGCGCGTGTAGTGCAGTATAACTGTGACGGGAGAGAAGCCCTTCCTGGCACGAGTTACTCGCAGCAGCTGTAAGTGCCAAAAGTGATGCCTTTTTAAAAAGCGGGTGGCTCAAGGTCACATCACCGAGCCGCGCCCCACTGCCGAGAACCTGGGTTCGAATCTGGGTTTCAGCCGCCGGTGATTAAATCGAATTCTCAAATGACGGCGAGTTAATGGTCACCAGTGGATTCGAGTTTTGTTTAGCTACTTCGACCGATTTCCAGCTCTGAGAAGGATGCCCACTACTGGGCTTGATTGCCGTGTCAGAGACATTTCTCTGCAGCAGGGCAATGTGGGATCAGCGCACCAATCGGCGCGTAGATGAGAGGTCACTTGGAAGGGATCTCAGAAGTAGCTCCTCGAAATCCACTTCCGCCCGCCGTTCTCTACGCGCCCATGCCGTGGTGGAGTTTATCCCGTGATCACGATGCCGATAGCGCAGTTGGAATGAACCTGGGGGGGTGGGGGGCAAGGGAAAAAGACGCGGCACGCCTCGCCCACGCGATCGAGAGTGACTAAGCGCGTCACGCCGACGACCCCGGATGGCACGTAATGGCGACGACCCTCCGGCCCACCCCCCTCCACCTCGCCCCCCATTGGGGGGGGGGGGGGGAGCGGGAGGTGGTTTTGTCCGCGTGCACGGCAGATGGCCAAAATTAACGTCGCTAAATCCGATCCTTTAGTGGAGGCCGCAGGTCCTCAGACGCCCCTCGTGTGCTTCACGAGCCGGTGCCGCTCCACCGGCGGCACTCGCGCTACCCGACAGAAATGCCGCCGCCGCCCCCCCCCCCGCCTCTTTCGATCGCTCGCGGATTTTAGATTTTTTTGCGAGCGCATGCGGCGGGGGAGTCCACGGGGGGGGGGGGGGGGCGTGTGACGAAGGATCGGTTAGGTTGATTCGTTTGGGGGGCACGCGTCGAGCGGTGACGGGGGGGGGGGGGGTTTGCGCGACTCCTGCAAAGGAAATCGATTCTATTTCGATTTAAAGGCTTTCGTGACTGCAGGGATTCATCTTCTTGGTTCTTTCGGTAAAGTCACGTAGAAGGGAAATAATAAAATAAGAAAAATAAAACATAATAAAATATTCTCACGACGTTTCTGCCACAACGCAAGCAGCCGTCCTCAGGTGAAGAACCAGGTCCTGTCGAGGCGACAGAGTCTGAATGAGGTCCGTCGCCTCGACGGACCTGGTTTTCACCTGAGGACGGCTGCTTGCGTTGTGGCCGAAACGTCGTGAGAATTGTATTTTATTATGTTTTATTTTAATTATTTTATTATTTCCCTTCTACGTGACTTTACCGAAAGAACCAAGAAGAAAAATCGATTCTGTAACGGAATCAAGCGAATGAAATCGTGACGGTTCGGTGGAATCGCGAAAGGGGCAAGTGGGTTCCGCCTTCTCGTGACTGAGCGTCAGTTACCCACCCAGAAACTGGACATTCTCTTTTGCCTCATCCCATCTCGCTTGTATTATTCCTCAACAAAAGTCCTTCATTTGCGCCGTTTTCTTCACTCCATTCGCATATTAATATCGCACGAAAATGTAATTGGCATATACATTGCATACGCTTGCAAACAATGGATTCTTATGCACAATCGTGAGAATACGAAATGGCATTAGTTAATGCCAAGATGCATAGTTACACACCCAACCCTTGAACGTGTCCAATGAAGAAGTCGATCCATTCCTGGGGTCGGGAACCTATGGCTCGCGAGCCATATATGGCTCTTCTGGTGACGGGCATATGGCTCCCAGATAATTTTGAGTTGAAAAAAAAAATACAAAAATCAGTTTGGAACTGATTTTAAAATACTTGTGATATTGCTTAATAATACTGTGTCATTTTAAAGTAAACAGAAATTAGTTTTGAAGATAAATTTCACGGGTCACGGGGCCTCAACGCCTGCACGAAGCTCAGCCTCACCACGCACGAACCAGACTACACAAGGCCATCAGCAAAACCATGCAGCACCAGAAGTCGCATTAAAAGTAATACATATTTCATTTATTATACGTTAAAAATACTATATGGCTCTCAATGAAATATATTTAGAAATATTTGGCTTTTATGGCTCTCCCAGTCAAAAAGGTTCCCGACCCCTGCTCTAATCCAGCACTGTGTGGAGGCAGCAGAGAGGGTTGATGGATCCCACAAATTTCGTGAAACTCCCTTCCCGTGGGAGTCGAGGTGCCATACCCTGAAGACGGCAAAGTGTGAACTCATCTCCATCTGTGTTCTGTCTACGGGATGGGTTTTTTCAAGACGCCCTGGTTTCCTCTCACATGCGAACACTCACTCATTGCCTCAAAACACTTTTGACTTAAAACTTTCGTGACTGCAGGAATTCATATTCTTGGTTCTTTCGGCAAAGTCACATAGATAGAATTTTTTTTTTTTTTTATAATAGAGAAATTCTAAATAGAACATTTTTGCTTTTATTATTTTCAATTCCTTATGAATTATTATTTTATTTGACTTTACTTTTTTTCATTTTTTGTTTTCTATCTACGTGACTTTCCCGAAAGAACCAAGAATATTCCTCAAAACACCTTCCTATGTCGAGGACCACAGGAGCTTGGGCAGTTGGCGACGGCTCACCGCGTGGCTGCTGCCATTCCCACTCGCCTGTGGTTCCTCCTCTTGCCTCTCGGTTCTCTCTCGTCGAATGTGAGCAAATTCTGTCCACTTTAAAATGATTGTTATTATTATTGTGGGGCTTCGAAGCATTCCATACGCGAACGCGGTTCAGTCGATTCAGAAATGTCGAGCAGTTGCGGAATTTATTTTTGTTTCTTTTTCTTGGAGCTCGGGCTAAGCTCGACGCGTAAATCACCTGCCCCAGGCTGTTGGCTCGATCGCAGCGCCAGCCCCAGGGTGCGCCGCGGTCAATCGAGGCGACGCCAACCGCGGAGTTGTTCGACCGAGACACCAGGCGTGCGTGACCTATGACCCTCGCATCGGACACGGCCGCTCGGCGCGGTGTCGGCCGTCCCCGCGAGCGCTGGCGAGCGGTCGATGAACAATTCGGCGGCGGGGCAGTTCGCCGGCAACTCGCCTTTCACTTTTGTTCGAGAACGTGAACCGATCCTGTGGACTACAGATAGTCCCCGAGTTACGATATTTCGATTTTACGATTGCGATAGCGATACGACTAAATTGTTAAATTTTACATTTCGCGCGGCAGGCAAACGCAGTAGCGTAGGAGGTACGATACTGTACGTTGGGACGGTGCGGGGATGTACTGTACGCATCTCCCGCCTTGTATGGTGATGCCTCACTCTCACCAGCGGTCTCGGCGTTAGCGTGTGTATCTTTTTCTGTGTTTCAAAGCATGTTAAAAGTTTTTATAGCAGATAGGATGGTTTTCTGCAAAAACGTTCTATTAAATTGCAGTTCATATAGGTAGGATGAGAATTTACCTTGTTTTTTTTACTATACATTTTACTGTGCAATACAGTATTGTAATTAATAAATACATACAGTATATAGTTTATACAGTACGGTACTGTAAATTGCTCTGTTTTGATAAATCATCACCATTCTTTAAGACTCCTGGGTATGCTAGGCCATCTTCGACTTACGATATTTTTGACTTACGATGGGGTCGTCGTAACGCATCTCATTCGTAAGTAGAGGACTACCTGTATTGAGTTGCTGTTAGCGACTTAACCTGTTGAAAGCCGCCCAGAGTGTCGAAAGCTCTTGTCCAAAACGTGGCGCAAACCAGAGCAACAATCAAGAGGACAGTTGGCAATCACGTGAACATTCTTGCCCAGACGTCTACTCGCCGGTAGCTACGATACCGCAATTCACAAAACGTCCCGAGGACAAACACGAGTTGTAAATCATTTGCGTAATCCACGTGCGCGCGGATCTTCCTAACTTCTTTTCGTTTGTCCGTTCACAGAGCTGTCGTCCAAGCGGCCCGAGGCTAAAGAACCGGAGCGACGCTTCCCGCCCAGCAAGGCCGCCGAGAAGTCGCTGAACGGCGTCGCAGAGCCGCCCGGAACCCAAGCGCAGGACAGCGGGCATCTAGCAGCGGAGAAGCCAAGAGTTCCACAGTTGCAGGGCGGCGACGGGCGGGGCGGCGACGGGCGGGGCGGCGACGGGCAGGGTGGCGACGGGCGGGGCGGCGACGGGCAGGGTGGCGACGAGCGAGACGGCCAGGGACAGGGCGGCCGCTGGCAGGGTGGCCGCTGGCAGGGCGGCCGCTGGCAGGGCGGCCATGGGCAGGGCGGCCGCTGGCAGGGCCGCTGGCGAACAGGCGACCGTGGGAAGGGTCGAGGGAGGGGCCGGGGCGGACACGGACAAATGGCCAAGCCTCGGCCCACGCTGCTGGCAATGGTAAGAGAAGCCTCGCCACGCGGCGGCGTATCGGTTTTAACCCCCCCGTGTGACGGGTCTCCCGCCCCCACGCCCCCCAGTGATTCCATGAGTTGTTGTCACGGTTTGTGGTCGTGGTTACATTCAAGAATGGGTTTTGTTTTTGTCCTCCTCATGGTCACATTTGGATTGAACCACTGTGAACTCTGCAAGTGTATGAATCGCCGTGCGAGTCTGTGGCTCTCTATTTGAGCCCACTTAGTGAGTTATTGTTAACTCCATGCAAGTCTATGGGTCTTTATGCGAGTCTATGGTTCTCTATGCGAGTCCATGACCCTCTGCGTGAATCTGTGGGTCTCTATTGCGAGTATGGGTGAGTGAGTCTGTAAGTCTCAATTTCAGTCTATGGGCTCTACGTGGGCCCCCTTGGCAGTGAACTCTAGAAGTTGAACAGAGGCATTGAAGCAATCGGCTGTTCATACACTGAATCCTTTCCTGGCTTAACCAATATTGGCACAAAGTTATCAGTCGCATTTTTTTCTAGCCATTCACACGAGGGATGTGATCCTCCTTTGAAGTCGACGTGTCTCTCGTGCATCGCGTGACTCTCCCCACGCAACGGCTCTCGGTGTCCTCGTCCGTTCTTCGCCGGTGATTGTTCGACGCATTGGCCATGTGACGCGTGACACGACGCCACGTGCAGACGCCGTCGACGTATGAACGACGGGAGCGTCGCACTTGTCCTGCGCGGAAGCCACGTCGGCGGTGTCCATTTAACGGTTCGTAGATTTGTCGGTTAAAAAATGAGATTGTTACGCTCGCGGTACATGCTGCGGTTCGCGCGACAATCGCTGGCTGTCGGTTCGTTGCGTGCCTCGTGTGCTGCTGGGTCACGCTGGTCCTGCAGCTGCTACTACGTTCGTCAAAGTAGAAATCAAATCACCTTTCGAATCAATCGAGTGGCGATTGTGAATCGCCGACCGTTTGTGCGAGCGCGAGATTGGCGAATCTTAGCGTGCGTCGTACACGTCACGTGGCTCGGCTGTCTTGACAGGTATCTGTTACGGCTCGTGAAACCTCTCAACTCTCCCCCCCCCACCCGCCGCGTATTGCTTTGTCAGTTTCTGCCCAAAAGGGATTTGTTTGTGGAGCGCGCTCGTGTTTAATAACACGGGTGCCATGGCTGACAGCCCGGGGGTCACGCGGAAACCTGCCGAGGAGTTTGCGTTGTGGTCTTGGGGTGGGTACTGTACCCCTTAAATAGAACCCCGCGTGGTTAAACAATTGCGAGCGCACTTGCTCGGACTTGAATTTACGACGACGGTGTTTTATTGCTGCCAAAAAGAAATGGGCCGCTGGGATCTTTTCCGCGAGACAACTTTGATGCAATTTAAATGTAAATTTCCGTGGCATTCATTCCAGGAGCCGGCGTGTCTGGATGATGTTTTAATCTTGTGCTCCCTTCCTCCCCCCGTTGCCCCCATCGCCCGTGATCTCTCTGCAGCTGCTGGCACCAGACATGAGGAAAGAGAGGAACGCCCTCCTGCAGTGCGTCCGCTACGTCGTCCAGAAAGGCTTCTTCGCGACGACCAGCGAGCGGAGGCCCAGCGCGGGAAGTCGCGCCGATTCGGCCCCATCGAACGACGCCGAACCGACGGGCGTGGCTGAGAGGTCGGAGGTGACAGGTCACCGCGACTCCGAGGAGGGTCCCGTTGATGTTGCAACGATCTCAAAAGAAACGGCGGTCGACCACGACGCCAGGGCCAGCGAGGAGATCTGGGAAACTCCGCCCTTGGTGGAGGTGCCCACTTAGGAGGTTCCGCTTCCCGACGCACAAACTCGGCGAAAATAGGGAGAGAGAAAAAAAACGCATGGACAGGAGGATTAGCCAATGTTTTTTTTTTATCTCTTAACATTTTCGGAACCTCGTCAGTGCTGCGACGTGTCTTTGGCCGCGTGGCACCGCGATCTTCGGCCTTTGCGGAGGCAATGGCGGAGCCAGGATTTTGAGGTCCGGGGAAGCAACCCCTCCAGCAATGAGAAATGATAGGAGTTGTTAGTAAGTAAGGACTTGTCCCTTGCTTTTTTATTCGACGCGTGTGCGGCGATGACGCAGCCATCGATCGAGCGTCGAATTCGAACCGCGTTGTGTGATCGGCATCGCGCTCGCTGAAGGTGAATGCCTTCAGGGAAGTCGTGTTCTGTATACGCAACTGCGCACAATTCTGTGAGTCACTTATAACTGCTTTGCCGTTACTTATTGCCAATGATGGACTCAGACTATTGTCCTATCATCTTATAGAGTCCCTGGCACGTAATAATATGCTACACAGTGGCAGTGGGAGTCGCAAAATGCCGATTTATTACTAATAAACCCCAATGATCCGATCGAAATTAGGGATTTCGATCGGATCATTGGGGGGGCACGTGCCACCCCACCCCCCCCCCCACTGGCTCTGCCAGTGTGCGGAGGAGCGTGAGCTGCAGTCAGCTGCTGGGGCATCCGTCTTGCGGAACGCTCATAATTCTGTAAGCGCAGACAACTTGCGACGGTCACACGGAGTCCCCTGTGAACAACGGAGTCTTCCCGTTACTGCCGAGCGTATTGGAATAGATCAAGTCGCGCGTGATGTGCCAAACCTGAGACGACCGGTACATCACGCCGCACTCAAGCGCACTCGCTTTTTACATTTAGCATGGAGGAAGGGGGGGGGGGGGGGCGAGGGGGGGATTTTTATTAAACTCTGTACAGAGCCCGGCGCATCACCTTTTGAGAACGGTCCACAGGAGACATCTCCGAACCGTATCTGAGATCCCCCTTCAAGTGGCGGAGGCCACTGCAACTTTCCGACGCACCCTGCTACTTAGGCGTGTGTGCGTTGCATGGCAATCTAACCGAATAAAATATATATTGTCCAGAGCTGTTTTATTTTTTTTACTTTTTGCCTAATTAAATGAAAAAATGAAGTTGGATGTGATGGGATTGTTGCAGTCAATAACTATCAGCTGAAACCATCAAATGTCGCCACACTTGATGACACGGTTTCATCACGGGCGGCTTAACGCCCGAGACCCCGAGCCCACCGGGCCACCTCCATGTGTTTATTATTTTGTCGATTTGAAAGGAGGGCCATGGACATTGATTTGAGCTTAAAATATACTTTATGATGACACGCGAGACACATTCCAGCCAATTGCAAGCCGGCAGTATCATTCGCCTCGCTTCGCCCATTTATATTGAAATTGAGTTATCGGCGTTGTGTCGTCAGACTTTCAATTTTTCAACTCTGCAGGTAGTAGTGCATCACACGCTGTCAAGAGAACTGCCCTGGGAAGAAGCCTTCACAGAACTACATCTGGGGTAAACCAAAATCGAATCTCCTATCCACACTTGGGGCCGATGCTCTGTAAAGTGTTCGTCTTGTCCATTCAGATAATAAAAATAATTGTAAGGGTTGCGATGTGACGAATTAAAGCACAGAAGCAAAGATTTTTGGTTCGCTGGTGACTGGGGCTGCGACGATCAACACGCTGCACCTGGGAAGCCACTTTAATCGGATTGAAATGCAGGATCCTAGCTCTGTGGTCTCCGGCGCTCCGTGATCGCAAGAAGCAGCCTCGAGTCGTTTAACAAAGCATTCGGTTTCGACGTCACGAATAAATGTCAAACATGAGAAATTCCCAAAGCCGCGTGGTAGTTGAGAAATGCGATGTTTATTTTCTCTCCCGTCTCATCGTATGCTTTGAGTGTAAGATATTCCGCGCAAAATGTTACAAACGTTTGCAGATTTTTCTGCACCTTTTCTTCTCGCAAACTTCGCCAGTTTGTGACTGACTGAGTGATTGACTGACTGAGTCACTGACTGAGTGAGTGACTGGCTGGGTGACTGGCTGAGTGACTGGCTGAGTGACTGACTGACTGAGTGACTGACTGAGTGACTGACTGAGTGACTGGCTGACTGAGTGACTGAGTGTTTTTTCAAACGCGGGCACAAAGTTGGGAGCCAAATGGCGTTGGTCTAAATTATTGACATAAGAACTGCAAGGGGGCCGTACGGGCTGCCCGCCGCCCCCCAGAGCGCGCGTTTCATTATCTGGGTAGCACGGCTTGCCAGGACACGTCCCAGCACAACCAAGCCTCTGTCACGAGAACCGAAATGGGCCGCACGGGCGGGCCCGTGGGCAGCAGGATTTCACGCCACGCGCCGCCAGGGCACTACCTTGCGGCCCCGTTACACTATCTGCCCACACGCTCTTCGGGGCTCTGTTCTGTGTGTGCGTGACCACAGGGAGCTGTGGTGTAGCAGTTAGCCGCGCTGCGCTACGAACCCGGCGACCCGAGTTCGATTCCCGCTCATGAATCCAGTGACGATTTTCTTAAAACGGTGCTGGGCCTACCCTAGGTCGACTCGGCCGCAGATGAGTACCTGGTGCTATGTGTAAACATCGCCACTGGGGAGAGAAAGGCGGCCGGGCGTGGTGTTGGCCAACCACCCGCTGGTGTGCCGGCCTTCGTAGATGCTCGCCAACAGCACTTGCCCCAACAGTATGTTGAGGCTGTACGGTGGATCTTTGTTTTTGGAGTGGCCAGGCGGTCAGAGAAGCAGCGAGTCGGGGGGGGGGGGGGGGGGGCAAGGTTGTGGTCACGGGTGGGAGGAGAGCTGGAAAGGGTTCGAGGTGTAGAGAGAGGTTGAAGCTGGTGGGTGGATAGGAAGGCAGGTGGCGACGCAGGTGGTTATGTGTAGTAAAATGAATAGAGAAGTGTAGTAATGTGTAGAGTGGCTTGACAGGCGGTGAAGAAGTCGTCCCGTGGGTAGAGAAGTGGGTCACGAGGGTAGAGGTCAGCTTGCAGGCATGTGTGTCAATCGGAAAGTGTCACCGTGCTTCGTAATTGATTCACGAATCGTAAAATTGGTCGCAAAAGCCTCCGTGTTCAACTTAAGTGTCGTCTCATTGCAGCATGTTGTCCGTGGGCAGGTGGCCAGGGCAGGGTGGGCCGGGCGGTCGCCGGTTTTGGTCGCGTGTTTACTATTCTACTATTCATCTTCTTGGTTCCTTCGGTAAAGTCACGTAGAATGGAAATAATAAAATAATAAAAATAAACATTAAATAATGTTTATTATGAATGTTTCATGAATGTTTCAGACGCTGTCTCCCCGACAGACCTGGTCTTCACCTGAGGACGGCTGCTTGCGTTGTGGCCGAAACGTCGTGAGAATTATTTTATTATGTATTACTTTTTTATTTCCATTCTACATGACTTTACCGAAAGAACCAAGAAGATTAATCCCTGCAGTCACGAAAGCTTTAAATCGAAATATTCTACTATTCTAAACTATTTTAGTTTGCCAGGTAAGGCCTGCTGATCGATACAGCTCTATTTCAGAAGCGACCTGGCCACAAATGATAGCAAAACGAAGTGGCTTATCGTGTGGACATTTATAGCAGCCAAATACTCTAAAACGCGTCATGTCGTTTCTAAATGCGGAGGGAAAAACCGGAGCACCCGGAGAAAAATCCACGCGACCACGGTGATAGCGACGCGCTATCACCGTGGTACAGCAGGGGTCAGGATCAAACCCACAACCGCCTGTATACCGGGCGAGGGAGTTAACATCTCCGTGCCACGCGTGTGTGTGTGTCGGGGGACGCGACACGGAACCTGGTTCCAAGGTTCGTGCCCGCAAACGGTCGCCTGGCTCGCTGCCAAGAAGGGGAGCGGAGAGCTCCAGTCACCGCTTCCTTCGCTGTGCAAAGTCCCGGGGTGCCGCCCGTTGCGCTGTGCCACGTGTTTCGGGGTTGGCTGGATGTAGCGAATACATGTTGAGCTTCTTTCGCACCGTACGTAGCCAACCGTGCTCAGCGCTGGTGCGGGCGAAGGCCAACAAACTATGGGTCTGTGCGAATCCATGGGTCTCTCTGTGAGTCTACGTATGTTGAACTTTCTTCGCACCGTACGTAGCGAACCGTGCTAATCGGAGGTGCGGGGGAAGGCCAACAAACTATGGGTCTGTGCGAATCCATGGGTCTCTCTGTGAGTCTGTACGTACGTTGAACTTTTTTTCACACCGTACGTAGCCAGCCGTGCGAATCGGTGCCAGGGAAGGACGACAAAACTAAACACAAAAATAGCACTTGTAAAGAAATGAGTTTTAAATCTGGATTTAGCTCCGATGGCTTCCTAATATCGGAAGGGAGAGCATTCCAGACGGCCGCAGAAGATGGCGAACCCAAAAGCCGCTGCGAGGCTGACACGGCGGTTCCCACGGACCCCCCCCCACTCCCCGATCTCGCAACGTGCACGCCCGCCTACAGCCCTCTTTTTATTTTGTTTTTTACTGTCAATCCACTGCTGGATTGGGAGCCTTCGCACGCGCGTACTTTGCCCCGCGAGCCGGCGCTGGCTTGATGAGAGTCGTTTTGAGCGGAGCGCGGCACGACCAATGGTCTTCTTGGTTCTTTCGGTAACGTGACTTTACCGAAAGAACCAAGAAGATGAATCCCTGCAGTCACGAAAGCTTTAAATCGAAATTTAGCACGACAATGGATTTAGCGCCACTGCTGCTCTCCGCCACCAAGGTAGCCACACCGCCCGACAGCAGCCTATAGCACCTGTGTTCTCTTCGTCCGATACTGCCGGCAACCGGTCCAACGTTCTCGCCGATGTTGCGAAGCGGTTGCCCTGGTAGCGCGGACTCCAGATCTCACGCATGCCGATCGTCCATCCAAGAAGAACCCGGACTTCTCACGCATGCTTTAGCTGCTCGTTATTAGGCACATTCCGGGTGTCGTGGTGACGGGATTCAATAGCCCGATTTTGATCGTTGTCGTCGTCATCATCATCATGAAACAGCCATGATCTCTAGATTTGAAGCTTTCGTGACTGCAAGGATTCATACTCTTAGGTTTTTTCGGCAAAGTCACGTAGGTAAAAAATCTAATTAAAAATTATTAAAAGTGATAATTAAAATAAAATAATAATAACACAAGTCTCCGTCATCAGGTGGGACCATCACAGCCAGATTTACTGTCTCAAGTGAGGAAAATTCCAAAAGACAAGAAAAGCCCCCTCCCCTCTCCTCCCCCCTCCTCCCCCCTTGTATTTAAGAACTTGTCTTTTGGAATTTTCCTCACTTGAGACAATAAATCTGGCTGTGACGGTCCCACCTGATGACGGAGACTTGTGTTGCCTCCGAAACATCGTGATTTTTATTATTTTATTTTAATTCTAGATTTGAAGCTTTCGTGACTGCAAGGATTCATATTCTTAGGTTTTTTCGTTAAAGTCACGTCGTGATTTTTATTTTATTTTACTTTTATTAATTTTAATGTTTTACCTACGTGACTCTATGGATCCGAGTGCTGGCCAGCCACAACTGTACACGAACAAGCTCTCCACACCATGGAGATGAGGATGCTCAGATGGAGCCTCGGGCTCACTCGATGGGATCGTGTCAGGAACGAAGACGTTCGGAAGCGACTTGGTGTGGCCCCCCATTGCGGACAAGATGCTCGAGGCAAGGCTTCGGTGGTACGGCCATGTGATGCGAAGTGAAGAGTCATCAGTGGCCAAGACTGCCGTGCGTATTGAGTCAGAGGGCCGCCGTCCACGCGGACGTCCGAAGAAGCGATGGATGGACCGAATAAAGGAAGACATGAAGACGGTCAACGCATCCCCTGAAGATGCCCTGGACCGAGCCAAATGGAGAAGACAATGCCGAAAAGCGGACCCTGCGCCACAGCGGGAACAACGCTAGGAAGAAGAAGAAGACCTACGTGACTTTACCGAAAAAACCTAAGAATATTTTATTTATATGATTACTTTTAGTAATTTTTTCATTTTATTTTTTTACCTACGTGACTTTACCAAAAAAAAAACCTTAGAGTGTGTAGCCATGATCTCTCCACTGCTTGCGTGAAGGCGCCCCCAAGAACGTCGCCATCTGCGATCGCAATGATCCGTCCGCCACCTGCCTCCACGTGCTGATGTCATCGCTTCAGCTCCTGGAGGGAGGGGCAGGGTCCTCCCTCGACCGCGTTCCAATAGCAAACAACAAGGTTTACGTTTCCCCCAAATGAGTGTGTACAGAACCAGCTACTAGGGAGAGGGGGGGGTGAGGATATCATTTCTAGAGCTCAGGCCCCAGACAGCTCCAATTAAAATTAAGCTCCCCCCCCCCCCCGTGTTTTAAAATGTAAAGCTGGCACAACGTACACCAACGGCGGCTGGGTTGAAAACAAATATTGGCCGAGCGAAAGCAGCTGCCTCGTTGCCTATTCCCCGAGACCAACAAAGACAAAGGTCCCCCCCACCCCGTATAGCTTCAACAGGCTGTTTGGGGCAAGTGCTGTTAGCGAGCAGCACATATGAAGGCCGGCACGGACACACGAAGAGGTGGGATTGGTGAGGGGCCAGCACCTACGCCCGGGCCACCCTTTGTCTCCCCCAAGTGACGATGTCTACACACCGCACCGGGTTCTCGTTCGAGGCCGAGTCGCCGTAGTTGGGGGTCCCAGGACCGCTTCAGATAATCGTCACCGGTTGTTGGTGGTGGCCGCGAGCGGGGATTGAACCCGGTTGACATCTTGCCGGGTCCGTAGGCGCACGGCGCGCTTAGCCGCTGTGCGCCACCGCTCCCGGAGGGGGGCGGACGGACCCCCACTCTCACCATCCCCGTCTCGCAAT